TATGACTTTTACGTATATTGCAAACAAGAAAAGTTTATACGAACAAAGAAAATTTTTTTAGTCCGAAATAATAAAAACCGTAGATTTGGCAAGCATATTAATTCTTATGTCAATTTTCGATGCAGAACAAAACAAAACAAATTATGATTCAACAAGGTATTCTCTACAGATAATATGCACCAAATGATTCAGTCAATAATTTTATGTTCGGAATTCTAGATCAAGGGTCTTTCGATGCACAAGTAAAGAGCATTTTTGTGTTTAAGCATATCTGTTCTAACTGTGGTGCTAAACAAAAAAAGAAGCTATAGTAACAATTGTTTAATTCAACATGCAGATGCCTGAAAAAATTAAAATTTGGTGATTTATGTACAATTTTTTAAAGCGACAGTGACTATGTGATTATTCATTTTATAATAATGGCGAAACCAAAAGAAGATGTGATGGAATCCCAGGACAAGTGCCCTGTAGTGTGTGTAGAAGAAGTAGAGATCAAGCAGAATGTATTTTTGCGCTTAAACTCATCTGCACTAATTGTGCAACCAAACATCAAATGGAAGGTAATACTTTCTTTATACAATTAATTTTTGCACTTAATTTGCTTTAATACTAAATTTCATTCATTAAAGTTCTTAACAGTGACAATTATAATAACAGTATTCTAAGACATTATCAATGTCCTTGTGGTACGAAAATCGGACAACCGTATTAAGATTAAGAGTTTTTTTTTTACAACCCTTTTTATTGGCGATATACATTCGCTAACGCTATATGAACAATTTTATATAGATATTTTTTAAAGACATTATTTAGCATAAGCAAATATGATCATAGAGATTACTTTCGTTAACTTCAATTAACTGTTAAGCAAAAATAAGATTACTATTTAAATTAAAAGCTTTTATATAAGCATAAATTTTCATTTTATATATACTTTATTGATTAAATGGAATCATTTCGGTAAATTATTGTAGGACTGTATAAAAAATAAGTCTGATAGTTAATGGGAAAAGTTAAAAGAAAATAAATTCTTTATAAAAACAAAAAAAATTAACATTTCCGACTCTTTAATCTATAATTTTTAACGAGCTATTTTTATCGCTAATATTTTGGGTTATTATTATTATTCCATGTGATAACAAATAAAGCCGAGGTGATAACATGCATTTTTTATTTCCCCCG